CTAGAGGTGGACTTTCAATTTTCAAATTTGCATAGTAAGTGCTTTGCCAACTGAACCATTCCCCTCCCGCCTCCCCAGCGCTCTTTATATTTTCCCCATCCTCCTTTCTTCCTTCTGAGCATCACTGTTTCTGTCAGCATCCGAACCTGCTTAAGGGCTTCTGGACACTGGATTTGGGACTTGCCATAGGAACTGCTAAGGGTTCCAGAGATCATCTTCTCAGTCTCCAGAAAAGTGTGACAGTGTATTCAAGACCACTAGGGGACAGCGGCAAAGAAAATGGACCCATGATTGGATGTCCAGTGAATTATTCTTCTGCCTCTGAGCATGCTTGGAGAGAAGTGGTGTTTTCCACATAATGTGCCAAGTCCAGAGTAGGTTTGTCTCCCTAAATCTAGGTCCCCAGGAAGTTCCCAAGCTGTCGGATGATGATGCCTCTGCTGCAGCAGCCATTGGTGTTCCAGGGCCCTACACCATCCAACCCAGTGCCGTGACCAGCATGCACCATCTAGGGGTCCATAAACACCCAAGCCTCCTACCCATGCTTTACGGCCATTGTAGCCTAGGATGGAAGGATGTGAGGTAGCTCACATGTCCAGTGTCCACATCTAAGGTCTGCCTGAGCACTAGGCGGGACACAGGAAGCAGGGCCACATCAATTCTGAACAGCACTAGCAATGAAAATCACCCAGGTGCCTAAGGGCAGAGGTCTCCCCTACCCAGGCAAGGAAGACTCAAAACGAACCCAGCATGAGTCCCCCTTCTCTGTCCTCCCCTAGAGCTGGGGACACTGACAGCTGAGGCCTCTGTGGGGCTGAAACTTAGACAATTCATCACTTAGCATCCATTTCTCCCCCTAAATTCCTTGTTGTGGTAGAATCTCCTCATTCCACAAAAACTCAGTTCTCAGAATCCTCCAAAAGGGTCCCCTGACCAATGGTTTTTGACCTTTGCCCTCTGGTGGGTGCCTCTGCCACCTCCCCTCCCCTTGTCATGTGTCGCTTCCCAAGGGAAGGTCCTTCATATGCAGCAGGTCACTGGCTCTGAGATTGGCACATGGGAGCCATCTTTCCTCTCACGCTCATGGCTGTATTCCCTCCTCAAGACCTTCTAGAAGTATCTGGGGCCATCTACGCAAGGCCAGGCCAGCTGGCTGAATCCTAGGCAAAAACACTAGGACCTGTGACTGCCCCATAACCAGGAATGAAAGAACCTTGGGGGAAGGCAGAGAAAGAACCCCCTACACACACCCTTGGGATCTGGATGGAGTACACCTGGGCTGTGACTTGGTGGCCTCTGTCCCAGCCCTACCAATGTTCTCTTGTTTGCTCAGGGACAGGCATGATTGGCTCTGCCTTGAATCGCCTTGCTCAATCCGGGGTGTATCCCTGTAAAGAGGGCTCTGTGTGCACACAGGAATGGAGCCTTGAGGATGCGGGGCACTGTTGTAGGGTCTTCAGGGGAAGGACACCGAGTCCTTGCAGTCTCAAGGACACCACTGGTATTCACTCAGCTCAGAGAACAATGGATTCTGTGTAGCTGAAACGTGACTATGTATGTGTGCGCATGCAGGTGTACATGTGTGTGCATGTATAGGTGTGTGTGCATGTATGTGAACTCATGAACAAGGAAATTGGCATGGAATGATAAAGGAAGGAAAGAGTAGGGAACATGGAAGGGGGAGGCGAGTCCATGGAGGGGAACTTTAATAACTAGCTTCGTTCATATGAAGCACTGTTAAGCAGACAAACTCTGGCACCTGATTCTCCTACAATCCCAACAAGTTAAGTCTTATCTTTGATGAAATGTGGGCAACTGAGCAGAGAAACCTCGAAATGGATTTTGTTTTCAGCATCCCTCGTGCTATTTGCTTCCCGAACCTCATTATTTATTCACAAAAATAAACTAGACAGAGTCTGGGGAGACGGCTCAGTGGGTAAAGTATTTGCCACTCCAGCATGGGGCCTGGAGTTCAGAGCCCAGACTCCACATAAACACTGGGTGATGCCATAGCTCACCTGAAGTTCCAACCTGGGAGGCAGAGATGGGGGATTCCCGGAGCAAGCTGGCTAGCAGACTAGTCTAATCAGTGAGCTCTGGATTTGATTAAGAGACCTTACCTCGATGAACAAATAAGGTAGAAGGACAGCCAGTGATGATTTCACCTCTGGCCTCCACATGCAGGCACAAATGTGCACAGACACCCACACACATGCAACCATGCATACGCACATAAGCATACCACACACACAAAGAGTGAAAAAATGAACTGGACTACTTAAAGCCTCATTGAACCAGCTCAAGAAAATCGTGAGTGATTTTCAAGGGTTAGAGCGTACTCTAAGCCAGCCATGATGGCGCATTTCTGTTGTCCCAGCCCTGAAGAGGCTGGGGCAGGAGAACTGAAAATGCCTGGCTGTGTAACAAGACCCTGCCCCACAAAAGAAAGGCAGACGGAGAAGGAAAAGAGAAGAAGGGAGGGAGGACAGAGGGGAGGGGTAAAAACAGAAAGAATGGACTTGGAGTTGTCTACTTTTGAGTTTTCAAGCTAGCAAATTATCTTTTTTTCTCTGTTAAAGAACATTTTTTAAATTAGATTTACTCATTTTATTGTAAGTGTGCTTTACGTGCATTTGTGTCTGTGTACCATGTGCATGCTTAGTGCCCGCAGAGGTCAGAAGAGGGCATTAGATTCTCTGGAACTGGAGTTATGGATGGTTTTGAACCACCATGTGGGTGCTGGGAATTGAACTTTGGTCCTCTGCAAAAGTAACAAGTGCTCTTAACCTCTGAGCCATCTCTCCAGCCCCACGATTGTCTTTTGATTGAAAATATTTTCCAGACCTTCAGGGGACCAGCCACTTGCTTAATTCTGCCAGCCCCAACAGTGTGTAGGCAGTGGGCAGGGGACCAGGAGAGACCAATTCCCAGACAGCCAACAGCCAACAACAGCCTTCGCTGCTCTGCAAGTGTTCCAGGAAGGAGACAGCCAGTCCCTAGCCCCGATTCCTTGCCTCTTGTAGCCAGAAAATCAGGCAAGTCCCAGGGCAGGTCCAGGTCAACCAAAGGAAGTGATCCCCTGTGCTGAAGGCCATAGGAGGGATCTACACAATGGGTGGAGGGAATGATTGACGAGATCCTCACCAGTCACAGCATAAAGGGATGGAGGAAGCACAGTATTTTCTAGTCAGTGTAGAGAAAGGATGGTTTCCTATATAAATTCGCATCCCTTTCAAAGAATTCTTTTATAATGGAACAGCCCATATGTTATGGTATAGATCTTAAATGTCCCCCTCCAAAACAAAACAAAACAAAACAAAACAAAACACCTCTTATGGTGGGACTGGAGAGATGGCTCAGTGGTTAAGGGCACTTGCTACCCATGCAGAGATTCTGGGTTCAGTTCCCCACACATGGTAGTGCACAACCATCAGTAATTCCAGCTCCAGGGATCGGATGCCAGCCAGACGTGCATGCAGTACACACATGTATATGCAGTCAAAACACCTATACAAATAATATAAACAAATCTTTTTTTCAAAAAACAAAAAAGGCACTTGGAGCTGGGTATGACTGTACAGGCCATATCTCAGTACTTTGGAGGTAGAAGCAGGTGGATCTCTGTGAGTTCAAGGCTGGACAGTGCTACACAATGAGACACTGTCTCCAAAAGAAAAAAAATCAATCAGTTAATTAATTAAAACCAACAAGATGCTTGGATTTAACACTCTTTTTTCATAAAAACTCATTTGTTGCTTGCCTGGGCCCCCAGTGGGCGGCGCTAGTGAGAGACGGTGGACGCTTCAGTAGGTGGGGCCCTGTTGGAGGGAGTTAGATCAATGGGAGTGTACCCTTGAAGGGGATATTGGGACCCCCTTCCTTGCTTTGGGGCTGCCATATGCTCCCCACCATGATGTCCTTCCTCTTCACAGACCCAAAGCTATAGGGCCAAGTGACAACGAACTAAAACAGAAACCCAAATCTTACCTCGTCTAAGTTCCTTATCGCGCATGCTGTAGTCACAGCCACAGAAAGATGATTAGCACGGTGGCCACACGTTGGGTCCGATGGCTTGGGCCTCATTTTGGAATAGAGGTCCCTCTGTTCTTAGAATAGACTGGAGTTTTTAACCCTGAGACTTTGAGCATCCAGCTAAGGAGACAGCTAGAGAATCCCAAGGCCAACACACCCTACCACCGACCCTCCACACCCAAGGAGAGTGGGGTCCTCTCTGGGGCAGCTGGGCGGCAGGAAGCAGGAGGGGTCAGTCTGACAACTATGACTAGTCTCTTTGGGACTACTGCCCCCCATGAATGGTCCCCCAAACACGCATGAGCCATCCTTTCCCCACCCAGAAAGTCTTCGCTTCCTGTGTTCCACTCTCGTAGTCCAGTGTCAGGGGCCAGCCCAAAGCTACAAATCCCGAAAGGGCCAGTTAGCTAACCCCCACCATTCTCTTCTCCTTTGTCCTTCGCTTAACTGAGTGCTAGCCAGCGCTTGTTCCGGCTCCCGCACCCCCGAAGCAGTGGGACAGTGGGGTTGATCCGTGATTAAGTTCATGGTAGACAGAGTCCCTGATCTTCACAATGTATCTGGGGACGCAGGGTGGCTTTGCCCCTGGTTGGTGCCGGCGTCCCGGAGCCAGCAAGGTTGGGGGGCACAGGTGAGAATTCGAGTTTAATGAGTGTTTGGCTAACTATGGAGAGAGCGCTTTTCTTGGATCAGGCGCCGCCGGGTGACGGGCTAAGGTCTCCAGGCTCCTGCTCAGGAGTGTCTTGGAGCAGCCCCTGGCACAGGTGACTAGATGCTGGGCGACTCCGCTCCGCCGCCTACAGCCTGGACGCAGCTACTGCGCAGGGGACTCGGGCGGCGACCCTGGGCACGAGCACCGCGGGGAGGTGTCTGAAGCCTGGCGCTTCCTGCCTGGCCCTTGGCCCAGGGTGGTGACTGGCTGTCGCGATCGGGGCGCAGGTCCCCGCCCCCGGCTCCCAGTCCCCACCCCTGCGCCCTCGGGGGCGCCCCATCGCGGGAAGGGGGGGTCCGCCGCGCCCCGGTCGCCTGGGGGCGGAGAGGTGGCGGGAACCTCCTTCCCGTTTCCGCCGCGGGCAGCGTGCCGGCCAGTGCCACCGGGAGGCGCGGTCGTCCCTCCGCCCGCGCGCCGGGGGCCGGCCCTGCCGCCTGCGCCTTTTTCTCCGCGCTCACCGCGGCGGCGCGCGGCCACTAGCCAACCGCAGGGAGCGCGGTGGCTGCAGCGCCCTGCGCTCGGAAGATGGTCCCCGCAGCCGGACAGCTCGCTCTGCTAGCGCTGGGTATGTAGGCGACACCCGGTATCCTTGAGGTGCTCCGGGGTCCGCTTGGGAGAGGGGAAGAGAGGCGGGTGTTTGAAGTGGGTGGGAGCGTGCGAGCCAGCCACCGGGAGTCACTGAGAACTGTGAAGCGGGGGACAGTCCTGGCAAGGTGGCCGCCCGGCGGTGAGATCTGGCTTGAACTTTACTCTGCGCGGCGTTGGCTCGCCGGTGCCCACGCCCTCCTGCCTACCTGGCTGTCGCGGAGCCGGGCTTCCCCGGAGCCGCCTGAGCGCGGATTGTCTGAGTGCGACCCTCTGGGTGGCCCTGGCTAGAGCCCCTTTCTCTTCCCCGGGGCGGGAGCCCACGTTGCGCACCCGCGCCCTCCGCCTTCGACTTCAAGCTCTCCTAGGCGTTGGGGTGGGTTTGGGGGTTTTGTGCGGATTAATTGTTCTGTTAATGAGCTTCCCTGGAAGCCTTGGTGTCCCTGTCAGAGGAGGCAGAAGTGACACCTGAGCGTGACCAGTTTCCTCGGAGTTGGTTCTTGGACATAAACGGGGGGTGGGGGAGGGGACACGCGTCCCCGCGTGTCTGGGTGACGGGAGAGATTTTCCCGCGGCGAAGCTCGCAGGTGTGTGCTCCGGTGACTGGTCTGTCCTTGACATGAGTGTTTCCAAGCACGGTATCTGCTCTCATCCGTGTGGTGCAGGGTCTGTGATGTTTGCTAGAGTGGACTGAAGTACCCAGGTGTCCCGGTCACTGCTGCCGCCTTGTGAATCTTTCCTGATACCTTCAGCATTAAAAAACCCAGTAAAGAGGCTGAGGCTGTAGGTCCGGGGGTAGAGTACTTACTTGCCTAGCAGGCACCAAGCCCAGGGAAGGATCCCCAGCAACATGTAAAGCCGAACTTGGAAACGCAGCGCTTGGAAGGCAGAGGCTAGGATCATAAGTTCAATACCACTCTCAGCTACACAGTGAGTTTGAGACCAGCCTGGGCTCATGAGAATCTGGTTCTAATTATTAATTAAAGCCCCGTAAAGCAAGATGCTTGCTCCAGGGTCAATCGAGCCCAGAGGGAAGTTTGGAACTGCCCTCCCCAAAATGTGCACAGAGCTGCAGCCTGTCATAGCCAAGGTGAGGGAGGGTGCATAGGTCCCCCTCACTCCTGCCCTGGAAAGGCTAGTCCAGCTCTGCGGCAGGAGGGGACACACCAAGACGCTCCTAGTTGCACCCTCACCTGAAGTGACAGTTACGGGCAGATTTCCTCACTTTTTGCAAGAACCACCTTTTGGGTATATGTTAACTTTGGTTTTCATTTCAAATACATGTATTTAAAGCTGTGGAACGTGGAGATGTAGGGAAGCCTGCGGGTTGTTTTCCCATCCCCTTTCCCCTCCAAATAGTATTTACTAGCTAGAACCCCGTGAGTGCTTGCCTGGTGTGGCCACGCAGTTCTAACTCGCTCCCTCATTTGGCTCACACACCCACCTGATGAAGAAGGAGCCATCCTTGTTCCCATTTTACAGAGGAAGAAAGGACAGTGCAAAGAGTCTAGGTGGACCAGCCTCATTAAAGCCCAAGGAGTGCGGGTGTGGAAGTCACCTCACCTGTGGTCAGCATACCAGTCCCATCTCTGGGGTTTGGGATGTGGCTTTGAGGAGAGATGGTGTAGAAAACTCTAGAACTCACTATTCGGTTTCTTTGTGGTTGAGCTCTAGGATTGCAAGGTTGTTTATTCAGTGAGAATGGGAGGCAGAAGTGCCTCCCAGCAGCTGTAGACAGCTGTGCGCCCCCAGCCCCTCTATCCACTCAGCATGGAGCAGCACTCACGCTGTAATTTTCTCCTTGCCTGAGTGCTCTCTATTCAGCTTGTTCTCTGCTGCCTTGAGAGGAAAAAATAATTATAAATGTAAGATTGACCAATCTATAAAAGCTGGCTTGTACTCTTTAGAATGAGTAGTTTTAAAAAAATTGCATGTGGAGAGGGATTAATTTACACCAGTGAGGATTCCTTTTTATTTAATGCTCTTTAAAAGAAAAAAGAAAAAAATCACAGCCCTTAGGTCTGTGCCTTTACTCAAACGGCTGCCTCCCACGTGTCTTTAATTTGCGGTATTTCCTCTGAAGCTGTGTTCCTCTCTGATTTTTCTTAGACAGCTCCAGGCAAATCAGCCAGTGTTTCATCAATGAACAGGGTCTAGAAAACCCTAGATTGGCCTGAGGGGGACCTGGTTGTTATTGCGTTCGTAGAGGCTTAGGCTTGGATCCTGACACTTACCCATGTTCTGAGGGAGAGTGTGGGGAATGTGGCCCAAAGGGTACCTTTGGAAATGTAATCCAGGTTCCTGCCATCCCAAGCAAGGTTCTCCTCCTGGGCATGGCACCTCCTTTGTGTCCAGGGAACAAGAGGTTAACTTGTGGGCATTAGATAGCCTTTCTGTGCCTTGTTTTTCCTCTCCGTGAAATGGGGATGTTAAGAGGGCTACTGGATAGACTTGATGCCTGCAGACTAATGTCTGGTATGTAGTAAGAACTTAATTAACCTTAATGCCACCCATACCCTTGTTGTTGGTACTCAGAGCCCCAGAGAATTCTGGATGTCGTGGCAGGTTATGTGGGTTCTATGACCCACAGGTCACCACCTGAGCTTGCCTCAAGCTCCTCACCCTGTCTCTGCCAGAAAACCTACCTGAGTGATTTCTAGTCTGAGTCACCTGACAGACGACAAACTCAAGTAAATCTAGGCATTCTTCCATTTCATTTTTCATGTCCAGCATTTGTGCCTGCTCTTTAGTACTCGACGGCCAGTTGTTTTCTCTTCTGTAAAGTGGGAATAATAAAACCAGCCCCGCCTTCCAGGTCCTTATGAAATCAAATGAGATGGTCAACAGATTTACAAACCATTAAAATAATTAGGCTGGGGATGCAGCTCAGCGGTAAAGCCATTTACCTGGCATGCCCAAAGCCCCAGTTTCCATCCCTACCACGGCAAAGGAAATAAATAAATGCTACACTGAAAATAAAATTGATTTTGTGACAGAGATGGGCTGTATAACACGGAGACAAAGCCTCTTCTGACAGCACTTCCCATAGGTGAAGACTGCCTATGGACCTCAGAGAAGGCTGTCATGGATGGGGGGAGAGGGGGGGATAGGTGACCTTGTTTTGGATTCCTGCTGAGGGTTCATTAGGGGATTTCTCCATCACATGGAAATGTCATCTTTCAGGCCTCCGCTGTCTGTCTTCCCTGAGTCTTTCGGGACTCATGCCTTTCATACTGGGCAGTTAGGGTGTGAGGGAGTTACTGGGATCCCTGGGTGTGAGGCCTGGAGAGGTGTAGGCAGATGTTGGCAAGGTCGCTGACCCTGTTTTCTCTTCCAACATCTGGTTTCCTCAGGACAAGGTGATTATTTTGTAAGTAATGTTTCTTGCAAAGAAGACTTTTCTTATAGGAGTAAATGATGCTTTGCACTATTGTTACTATGGCAACATATGACAAACAGATGACTTTTCCATTGGATGGATCTCCAAGGACCTTTGCAATATGTGTGTTTGGAATAAGGCCCTAGTCACCACACTGCCCTCCAAAGCAGGCAGGCATCAGGTCATCCTACACTAGAAACCTTTCTGGCATCTTCTACAGCAATATGCTTGTGTCAGAACCTTCTGGAGGCCTGGTGAGCACAGGTGGAGGGTTTGCATGCTCAGCAAGGCCTCAAGTGTGACCTGTGTGGCTGGAAGGGAGCTTCAAGAAGCCTTGCTCCTCAGACAGATGCTGTGGGGACCTTCTGCCTTAACCAACTGCCCTGTGCCTCAAAGCCAGCCTCACAATCGTTAAGTGTGGCTGACAACGCAAGAGCTGTCACGAAAACTGCCTTGGCCTGTGCTGCTGGCCAGGACAGAGCTGGAACCTTGCTGAGAGGTCATAGTTCTGCTTTTTCTATAGTCTGTGTTACTAAACATCAGCTTACAGCACTACCATTTCACGTTTTTTGTTTTTAAATTTTTATTTATTTTTAGCGTATGAGTGTTTTGCCTATGTGTACACCTGAACACCACATGCACACAGTGCCCAAGGAGGCCACAAGGGTGTCAGATGCCTTGAGACTGGAGTTACAGAGGATTGTGTGCCACCACATGGGTGCTGGGTATTGAACCGGTGTCCTCTGCAAGAACAGCCAGTTCTCTTCATCTCTGAGCCATCTCTCCAGCCCATGTCACACTTTGTTGTTAATTGCAAGAATGACTTGAGATATAGCTTTTTCAGATATTTCTGATCATATAATTTTAAGATATAAACTTAATTCATATATATATATGTTTTTGGAGACTTTTCTACTGGCTTTTGGTTTGGGTTATATTTTTGTTAAGATTTTTAAAAGGTGTGTGTGTGTGTGTGTGTGTGTGTGTGTGTGTGTGTGTGTGTGTGTGTGTCTAGATTTGAGCACATGTGTGAAGTGCCCACAGAGGCCAGACCACACTATCAAATCCCCTGGAGCTGGATTCACAGGTGGTGGCGAGCCACCTGTGGTGATTACCGGAAACTGAACTCACGCTCCCGGTTAGAGCAGTGGGCTCTCTTAACTGCTCAGCCATCTCTCCATCCCCTTGGTTAGCTTTGTAATGTCTCCTAGGGCAAATGGCAAATACGAAAATCTTTCCTAAACCCAGAAAAGCCGGAAATCTAGCTGGCAGAACCACCTCCGAGCAGCAACTCTAATGCAAGGAGTGTGCTTCTCTGACCCCCATGCTCGGGTCTAGGCAACCATACCTCTCTCCAGGGTGGAACTCACTATGTAGACGTGGCTGGCCTTGAACTCACAGAGTTCAAAGACATATGCCAGCATCCTGGCTAGGCCAATTCTTTTGAAGCATCATGAATGTGTTGAATTAAATACGATTTAAGAAATAAAAACTGTTACCTGGGATTAGGAAAAGCCAGAAGCTTGTTGAAACCTAGCTGTGCACCATCTAATTCTGGTTTGTTTGTCTTAAGCCTGAGGAAGCAATTTTCTTTTTAACAT